GATTTTTTGTGGTGGTGATTTTGGTCCATTATACGGGGTTCGTTACACCCACTTCATGGTCCACAGTTTCTGTGACCTCTCCTATTTTTCTTTCATTCTCTTAATTCATTACCTCCTCAAAATACAACTTGCATCTTCTCATCATGATCTCTTCACTTGTTAGAACATTTCCATTCCTATCTTTGACAAGCCTAACCTGCTGCACATCCTTTCCAGCCTGATCCCTCCATCTCATCTATCGGTACAAGTCCTTCTAACCCTCTTTACTCCAGCCAACTCTCTTTTTCTCCCAACTCATCTATAACTCATCATACACCTTCTGCTTTGTCTTTGCTACTGCCCTCTTTGCTCTACATTGCATCTCCTTATATTCCTGTCACCGCTCTTCAGTCCTCTCACTGTCAAATTTCTTCTTGACTAACCTCGTTCTTTGAATAACGTCCTGAATTTTACTATTCCACCACCAGGTTTCCTTGTCATCCATTCTCTGTCCAGATGACACACCAAGTACCTTCCTACCTGTCTCTCTAGTTACTGTTGCTGTAGTAGCCCAGTCATTTGGAAGCTCTTTCTTACATCCAGAGCCTTTAACAGCTCCTCTCTGAACTCCTCACAGCATTCGTTCTTCCTCAGCTTCCGCCAATTGATCTTGTCTGATTTTACTCTTTTTCTCTTCTTTACAATAAGTCATTCTACACACAACCATCTCATACTGTCTGACCATGCTCTCCTCTGACACAACCTTACAGTCCCCAATTTCACAATCTCAGTCTAACATCAGACCTTCTACTTCTATCCTCAGGCGCGTCACCCTATCTGATGCTTTTGTCACCTATACTACATTCTTTGCCAACTCCTCCCCCAGGACCATCCCAACTCCGCTTCTCATTCTATCCACACCATGATAAAACAGTTTAAACTCTGCTCCAATGCTGCAAGCCTGGTTGCCCTTCCACTTGGTCTATTGGACATGTAAATCATCTACCTTTCTTATCTGCTTCATGTCAGCCAGCTCTCTACCTTTGCTTGTCATTGTCCCTACATTTAGAGTGTTCACCCTCAGTCCTACATTCTTGACTTTCCTCTTCTCCCTCTATCTCCTGACATGTTTCGCTCCTTCTGGTCTTCAACTATCAGTAGCTCAATTTCTGCCAGCACCCTGTTTGTCAACAGCACCGGTGGCGGTCGTTGTCAACCTGGGCCTCGACTGATCTGGCATGGTGTCACTTAAATGAACTTGCATTATATTTTTGGCAAAAGTGTTTTACGTCACATGCCCTTTCTGACATAACCCTTACCATTTACCCAAGCTTGTGTAGTGTCTATCCAAGGCCCAGAAAAGACAAAGCGTGGGTTTTCTCCAGGTTTCCCCCGCAGACCAAAAACATGCATGTTAGACTGATAGGTAGCTCTAGGTGTGAATGAGAGAGTGAATGGTTTGTTTGTCTCATTTGTCTCTATGTGGCCTTGTGATGGACTTGCGACCTGTCCAGGATGTACCCCGCCTCTCGCAAAGTGATTGCTGGACATGGGCACCGGTGACCCCCACAACCCAAAAAGGAAGAAGTGGGTAGAGATAATGGATGGATGGATGTAGCAAAACTAAATAAAAGCTACAATTTAAAAAAAACAAAACAGCAGCTAAAAGCTAACTGTATCAAAAGACAACAATTTAGAGCCAATCTGCTGCTGCAGCAGATCTTTTAAAGAACAGTGCTTGATGAGAGATATATGATGATAAAAACTGAACAAAGTTTGCAAACCAGGCAAACAGTAGATGCTGATCCAGCAGTCACTCAAAAACAGTCTTTCATTGTTTTACTATCCTTTAATATTTTTTGTATTCTGTTCAGACTGAAGAGGATTCTTCATTTTCTGAGGAGCAACTCAGAAGGATTACTTTCGATCTTTATCTTGCTGGGACTGACACCACCTCGAACACCCTCCTGACCGGGTTTCTGTACCTCCCGTGCTATCCCCATGTCCAAGGTACACCTTCAGGACGGAGAGTGTTGCCTTTAACTTCATCACTGTGGAAGTTTCAAAACCTTTCCCAAGAGGTGACCAGAAGGGAGCCATGGATAACCTTAGGAGGGCACAACAAAATCAAAAACCATAAAAGAATAACAGGAGTTTTAACCGGCTGTTGTTTATTTAACAAATAGTTTAATATTTTGATTCACCCTCTGAGATAGAAATCATTTATTTTTACAGATATCACTAACCGAGATCAACACAGTTGTCACGCAACACATTGAAGCTTGTCCTCTTAGCTCGTAAATTCTTCTTAGAAAACTCCATGTATGCTGCCTTCAACTCATTCTGCTTTTTTTTTAAATTAATTTCATGTTAGTCGCTCTCATTTATTCTGCACCCAAGTGGCAAAAAAATAAAAATAAAATAAAAATTAATTGATGGACTTTTAGAAAGAATTAAAAAAGTTTCTTGATTAAAACCACTTTAAAATATCACAACATGATCTTTGAAGCATTTATAAAACAGTTTCTGCTCCTTCAGATCGATGTCAGCAGGAGATCGACCGAGTTCTGGAGGGAAGGGATCGGGTCAGTTTTGAGGACAGACACAACATGCCTTATGTGCAGGTGATGAGCATCATTCCACAGATCTGTCCTGATGATTTTATTGTTTTTAGAGTGAGTTTTTGTACCTGAGAGGCATGTCTGAGCATGATATGAATCTTTAGGTCATTCATCCTGAATGTTGACAAGCTTGTTGTTGTTTGTTCCTTTAAAGGGCTAAACTAATTAAATTCCAAGCCAGATAAAGTTTATAATATCTATCTTCATGCAGGCTGTGATCCATGAAATCCAGAGGGTTGCCAACACTGTTCCTCTCAGTGTCTTTCACACCACAATTAAAGACACAGAGCTGATGGGATATTCCATCCCCAAGGTGAGGAGCTTCCTGTTTTGACACAAAGTAAATGAATCAAAAACTTTCTTTCTGGTCTTATTCTTTTCTTTTGGTTTCTCTTCAGGGAACAATGATCATCCAGAACCTGACCTCAGTGCTGAATGAAGAGGATCAGTGGAAATTCCCTCACGAGTTTAATCCTGAGAACTTCCTGAATGAGCAGGGAGAGTTTGTCAAACCAGAGGCCTTCATGCCGTTCTCTGCAGGTAGAACTGTAGAAAACTTTACTTTCACGCCTGGATTACAGGGACAGAGTTTGTTCAACTAAAAGACAATAACGTTGAGGTTTCTGTGTCTCAGGTCCACGGCTGTGTCTCGGAGAGGGTCTGGCCCGGATGGAGCTCTTCCTCATGACGGTGACCCTGCTGAGGAAGTTTAAGTTCATCTGGCCGGAGGATGCTGGAGAACCGGACTTCACTCCGGTTTTTGGGGCAACTTTAACTCCAAAACCTTACAACATGGAGGTCCAGCTCAGGTCCAAACAGTGAAGTGGTGTGAAGAGGCTCTGTAGAAACAGATGAATGAAAGATAAAAAATATGCAAGTTTTTTTTTGTTTGTTTGTTCCTGTAGAAGTCAGAAACTTTGTGAAATATTAACAAATTTATCAGACAGCTTCTATATAAACCATCCTTAAGACATGCTGTTCTTTCATATGGTACTGAATGTACTGACCCAAATGTTCTTCCACCCTTCTGATGTCAATCCTGGGTTTGAACTGTAATTATAAAAGTTTTTTTTTTTTGCAATAAAATCATATTCAATTGATTTTCTTATTGCAGTTTGTTTTGGAAGTTGTGAAAAAGTTTTGAACTATCCCGACTCTCAGATGAACGACTATGAACGACTATGACGGTCCTCTTTACTGGTCCTTGTGGGTCTTCAGATGGAGATAAAGGCCAATCCTGGACCCAGTTATGCACCTTGTACACCATGAACAGGTGATTCCAAGTTCCAAAATGTGTCCAAAACATTTCAGGTATTTCTGACCTCAGGGCGGGGATCCCTCTGGATGTAGTGGTCCAGCCAGGAGTTACAGAGGCTGAGAGAGTGAATCCCATAAAGAACTGTTCAGTCATGGGTGCTCTTTCTGCCTCAATCCAGGAGCTGAAGCTGCCCCACCTCCCAGCTAGAAACTCCCAGACCCTCATCAGATACTACAGCACTAAGTGTCGTGAAGCGAGGTAGTACCAGAGTTGAAACAATCAATGTGAAATGTAAGACGGTCAGGTCTGTGAGACCATTTAATGGGACTGTTTTATGGAAGAGCCCATTCTTTGTACAAAATTTTGCTTTTAACAATCAATGCAGCTTCAGCAGTATTGTGGACTCTGTGCCGGTCCATTGAGGTGAAGAAGGAGCTGAACCACAAGGTGATGCTCTCTGTTTTCATGTCGGTTTCCGTTCAACCCCTCACCTGTGGTCACGAACTCTAGTGGCTGAAAGAAGGAGATCCTGGATACAGGTGTTCTGAATAAGTTTTCAAGCTGGACTCTCCCTGAGCGACATGGTGAGAAGTTCAGTTATCCAGAGACTCACAGTAGAGCTGCTTCTCCTCCACATCCATTCCAGAGGAGCCAGTTGAGGTGGTTTAGGCACCTGGTAAGGATGGACCCCGGACACCTTCCCAAGGAGGTTTCCAGGCATGTTCAACTGGAAGCAGACCCCCGAGAAGACCCAGAACACGCTGGAGAGACACTGGCCTGGGGACACCTTGGAGAGCTGGAAGGGGTGGCTGTGAAGAAAGATGTCTAGAGCTGCCTCCAGAACAAGATGATGGATGGATGGATGGATGGATGGATGGATGGATGGATGGATGGATGGATGGATGGATG